AAAAAAAAAAAAAAAAGAAAAAGATATACGACGGAGGCGGTGGCTCTCCACTTACGTGGACTCTCCTTTTTTTTTTTATTTTTTATGTCAATCCTTTTTTAATGTTGTAGTGGCAGGAGGCTCCTCGTCGTTGGTATTATATATATATATATCTGCCGCTCGATACTTGGCTTAATTTGTTTTTCATTATGTTTATAGCGATTGTAGCACCGTAATCTCATGCTTTTAATATCTGTAACAATAATCTTTAACGATCGATCGATCGATCGCATACGCAGAATTTGAATCAGACAGAAACGCCATCGACGACCGGTTAAATTTTTTTTATTTAAAGTAAAAAAACTTTGGTCCGTTGTGGTGCTGCATTTCGATTTTTTATATTTCACGCGTAGTAGATATGTAGAGAACAATTTCCAATTTTTTTTCAAAGCAGTATCGAATAACTTCGATCATCCATTAAATCATAATTTCAAAGATAAACCCTTGGGATTTGGAATGGCAATAAATAAATGCAATGTTTCAAGAAATAGAATTAGAATACTGAAATACTGCGTAAAGTGGCACTATGGCGTAATTGTCTTCAGATTCCACGTACCAAAAGCTGTCCAAAGATGAAACAGACCAATGATACAATTGACCATCTGTCGTTTAAATCAGGGCGGCGACAAAACGAGTCTCACGTCGGCGGACATAGAAACCGAGGAAAAAGACGCGTCCACGGCAGAACAGGATAAAACGCCAGAGCCAACGGACGGCGAGTACGGAGAGGATAAAGAAGCAGACGAGAAGAAGACGGAGGAAGATGATCAAAAAGTATCGATCGCTACGTACTTGAAATTCCTCATGGTGATGATCAATAGCACCCTCACGTCGATGACGAGATACCTGAACAGATTTTCCCGCGACTACAGATACATTCGCAAGGTTTTGACGAAAGAGAAGAAAGTACTGAAGGTACTACATGGATGAAAGGAGATTTCCCGCGAAAAATCGAAATAAACACTATCTGAATCGTTGGAATTGATTTACAGGCGAAGCCGGATTTCCGGATGGGAATGCGACTGGGTATCAATCAAATGTGGCAGCCGATCCCTCTCATGAAAGGGTAAGATTCCCCATCGTAAATGGAATCGTAATTATAAAGAAATTGTATCTTACCTTTTCTTAGCTTTCTCGATCATTTGTTCGTTAGACGCTTAATTATTGTACAGATATACAATGTCACAGAATAATTCAGACTCGCGAGTTTAAGGAGTTTAATGAAGACTCTTTCAAAAGATTCGATATTGACTTTGAGTAGTAAATTCTTCGATGGTATCCGACGTCGTCGACACTTTAGAGCTTCAGTAGTATTGCGCTTATCCCAAATACTTGCTTCTTCTTGTTAGAATTGTTCAGATGTCCTCCCGAGACAAAGTAGTTTACATTTGCCCCTGCTATCAGGCCAGACGTTATATATAGTAGAAGCTAGAGTAGTAAATGTGCTCGCTCTGACAGATCGTCTAGCGGAAATACCGAGGAATCTTACGATGCCGGGGAGGGTCCTAGCCAATCACGGCCGCAGGAGCAGAGGTAAGACTTTGTAGAAAATGTTTTCTTTTCACGTTGCTTAAAATAAATCGTCTCTAAATTAAATTCAGTATCTTCAATCTTCAAACGAATGTTTTCGTTCTTCCGATTTAACATAAATTCCATAAAAATTCCCGAGTCGCATTTACGTATTTATTGTATCGTTAGATTAGAAAACTAATTCGAAAGTAAACGTAGACAGAGAGAAGTGTTATTTTTACTAGGAAAGGCAGCTCGTTGACGATCCCTCATATCCGAATATTGGCACCGAGTTTAGAGAGAGGATTGGATATGTCCTCCTCCAGGTATCGAGAGAGTACTTTGTCTAAATCGATAATTAATCCTTCACTTGATCGTTAGACACACACACACATACTTTCTGCACGTTGATCTTCGCAAGCAGCTTGTATATTATCGTTTCTTCTGCTCTCTTTATATACTTTGTTACGGTATAAACGTGAATATTGTGATCTTTATGAATTCAGTTCTACCTCACAGGTTTATTCGAGCTTTCAGTGTGCTTTCTGTATCGTAAGTGTTTCGCAAAAGGAACAGAGTACTACGTTGTCTTCTGCGAATTTCTGTTGAATTGTATCGTGAAACTTATCTGGCGACTTAACTGACACAAATTTCTCATTTGTACAGTGCGCTCTTCTCCGAAATTTCGCCTGTCCAACACGAGGACGAAGGAGGTCAGTTGTCTGAGGTCGACCAACCACCGATAATACAATTATTGGCGTCTATTTGGTTTGGAATATTGGCGCATTCGTGTCTACTCTGTTACTTCATGGTGTTCCTTCATCAGATTAAAAACGCGTCTGTTCTTTCTACACCTCTGCCTCTCATGGTGTTCTGCTGGGGCTCGTTGACCATCCCACGACCCTCGAAAACGTTTTGGATAACGTTGATCGCGTACACCGAGGTATAAAATATAATTGCTCAAATCGATTGGTGATTTTTTTTCCCCGAAAGAAAAAAAACTTCTTTTCTAACCAATGGTACATTTCTTCAACCAGGCAATCGTGATAGTAAAATGCATTTTCCAATTGGAAGTGTTGCCCTGGAATCGAGAAGCTTCGCCGAATAATCCGTTATTTACACCCAGAATTATAGGGGTTGAACGCAAGCATAATTACGCTCTGTGGGATCTGCTGTTGCTTCTCATGGTGTTCTTCCACAGGTAAATCGTAGTAAAAATTCTGCAAGAATTTCTTCGTTAGCTGTAGAAATTCAACAGAGATTCTTCTTCTCATTTTTAGGTTTATGCTGAAGTCATTAGGCCAGTGGACCTCTCCGACCCTGAAGCCAAGAAAGATCATTCCTTCCACTTTGACTGTAGTTCCGTTAAAACTTCCACGGCCAGAAAATAGAGGCCAGGGGGAATCTACGTCGCTGGAAGACGAGGAAGCGTACGTCGACGTCTGAATTCCCATTAATTTATACGCTGCAACGCTCTAATGTTGATATTTTATTATTTACAGCGTTGTAAAAACTCCTAGAGGAAGAACTTTGAGCCTGGCCGCAGGTCAAGGTGAAAGCGCGCAAGCCACAGACGAGTATGAAAAATTGGTGGCGGTTCAAGGAGAGGAAGTCAGTCCCGTGCAAGAAGAGTTCAACAAAGCCATGAATATGACGTGAGCACGCTTCGTTCGATGTTTGTTTTCATAGGACTGACTCGAATGATATAATTTATTTCCAGCGTTAAAAAATACAAAGAACCGATGAAGGATTTCTTCGAAAAAATCCTCAGTCCTCACGGCAAAGAAAAGACGAACGTGTACGCATACATGTTCCTCTGTGATTTCTTTAACTTCTTGCTACTCATTTTCGGATTCTCCGCATTT